TGAAAAGGAAGTGCTCAAGCGTGAATAGTCGAATATACGAACAAAATAATTTTTTTAAATATATTAATCGAATTATTCGATATATAAAAATGAACTTTATTAAATAGAATGGAAATATTCAGGTTAATCTAAAAAAAATCCTAAATTACGTTTTGATCAATTTAAATGTTGATTATTTTTATAAAGATCAATTAACTTTAAAAATTCTTCTTTATATTATATATATGATAAAATCAATTGAAACCAATAGAAATAGAAATACAAAGAACAAAGAAAAAAAATGTTTATTTATACATTGATTGACATCGATTATGATGTGTTAATAATCCTTGTCGAATATCAAGGTAATCACAAACATGGGATTGATATGTCATCAATCATTTACCGATCATTCGTTGTATATATATAATATCTTATTTAGCTACATATTTAATAGAACAAACAATGAATCTTCTCTTCCTTTTTTATGCATCGTACATTTTATTTCAAGCTCGATAAATTTGCTTTTCATGACACTCATATTTTTGTTGTTAACTGATTGATCTATTTGAATAGAATTGTGCATACTATAAGGTAATGATTAATGTTAGCAGAATTTTTCCACTGAATGTCTAAGATGATATATAATCTTCAGGAAATTCATTGTCACTAGATATTCTTTTAAAAGATGAATATGACTAACTTCAAAAAATTACAATCATTATCGCTAAAATCTTTCAATTGTACACATGTTATCGGGAATACGCATACACATTAAATGTTTAATCATCAGTGGTGTACGATATAATATCATCGTTTGATCTTGATAGCTTATCTCTCTTTAGAGATATTGACGGATTGCCATGCTTTAATTCAGCCTCCCTACCTCATAACTCGTACATACTAGTTAAGGTGCTAATGAGTAACGAATTAAGGGCTAACGAGTCTGCTTTATCATTTTACGCATAACTCGTCAGTCAACCTATTTACTAAACATGCCTGTCAATTCTTTTCATTCATGATATTTTTTTGTTCTAAATATAACTACGTTCACTATTAATTTCTTCGTTTCTCTACTGTTTGTAGCATTTACGTATATTTTATTTATAAACATCTTAATTTCGCAAATTAGTAAAAGCAGAAATTTGTCAATTGGCAAAAGAATGTATAGCTAAATATTTTGCCAATAAAAGTTGTATTGGTCCGTAGTTAGCATGCAATTGGTTAATCACTTTTTAATCGATAAAATAACACGATTAAAAAAATATTATTTTACGCGTGTACTAAGTATGAGACTGGTTAGCGGATTGGGTCAGAAAAAAAAACTTATCAACATTTCTGTCTCTTATGCAAAAACTTCACTTAATATTTCAGTCGAATATATTTTAAATCATTTAATATTTTAGTTGATATATGTAATTATCATAGACAAACTATTAATATTGCTTAGAGAACAGATTGACAGTCATGATAAAAAAAAGATTTTACTTAATAAATTTATTTTTGCTTGTTTGTAAGAGTGAAAACACAAAGAGTTTTGAAAAATCTCTTCATAAGAAAACGACAATTTTTTATGAATCTCTTAATTAGTTTTGTAATATGAACTTCAACTGAAACTTTCTTCTCTGACTGATCGTTATTAAGGAAATGAACAATAGAAATCTACTATTTCTTCTACCAATACAAATGATCTTCTATTCATTTCCTTATACACTCCGTATAAAAAAAAAGAAAAAAAACTTTATTTCAAATAGTACTTAAAAATAAGCACAAATTAAGATGAAAATATAATTCTTAACGGACAGATAACTTGTATAGCATTGATTTCTACCATTATGATGCATGTTGGTTCTACTACAAATGTTGTTATAAGTGTGTGATAGTACTACACTATTGAAGCGCTAATGATGTCTGCTCTTGTCAAGACTCCATATTTGTTATGATAATCCGTACGATGTCTTTTCGGTTGATCTTTTATATATTTATTAATCAGTACAATGTTCGTCTAATAAGTGTTATGTAAATGATTATTTGTCGTACTGATTGGTTTCATATGTTCCCTCGTGTAAACACAATTTCTTAGAATGCTGCATATGTATAATAGGTGTATAAAGAGTTCTATTATACAAAATATATAGTAGAAAAACGAAGTATCTGTGTCAAATTGAATGAGAAACCATTTGTTAGATTTTGGTGTTGCAGAAAAAAAAAGAGAAGTAATGATTCACATTATGAGAATACAGCAGTACTTAAGTGTGACCTTTCTATCAACTTCCAGTAAATGATTTAACTCTAAGAACATTTAATAAATGTATTCTGATAGTATTATCGAAGATTCTTATTTATTTTTGATAGTTGTTATTATCGACAACAGAATAATGCATGAAAAGAATTATTTCTAAAAGTTTGTCTTGCTTTAGCTAAACCTCTATATCTAGAATTAAAACTTGCTCGATAACGTCAAACAAGTGATCTTTAACATACACAGAAAAGTGTTGAATCAGATCTACTAAATATCAATGTACTTATCATTGGGAAACATCATTAGAAGGATATCGAAATCGATCTAATGAACAATAATGTATACGGCGTTGTTTAGAGAAGAAAGCTTAGAGGGCAAAACGGAATAAAACCACTTGAACCGGCGTAAAACCATCTTTTTGTTTTTGTTTAATTTGATCTTTACAGAACGTGACTAAATATATTTATCTGAACGACGGTAAAATTTTTTCATATCAAAAACTGAATTGCTGTTTCAATATCTATGATAAATAATTTTTCATAAAATACTACCTATAGATTCCATGAGGCGTGAAAGGATGAAGTTGATGATAACATTGTTTGTTGAAATATTGTCTTTAGAAAAAAAAATATGTATAATAAATAATAAAACAGATATGTCTGCTACTTCTGATTAGAATGTTAGCTTTGAATATGGAAAAGTAAACTAATTAAAAAATATATATTTAGATAGAATTATTTTATACATAACAACAATTGTTTTGTGTGATATTTGTTCATTCAATAAATTTTTCCATTACTCTTTGTGTTAATAAAAGAAACTCTGCCTATCGAACATATTTATTTGTTTACACAAATTCAATTTATAATCCTTTTCTATCTTAAAATCACATTTTTAATCATATGTAAATAATAAGACAGTCAGCAAGAGTATAGTTTCATAATCAATAAGACTAACTAATGAATTTATGTGATTTGAACTAATAGAAATAATATAAGAAGTAATTAATATTTGTCAGTAGAGTAAATTAATTGTTTTTTTTATATCATTAATTCGAAACATTGTTTCATTTTATAGACAACCAAAAAACGGAAATAATTTTGAACAATGATCACGAACAAATTGTGGATTTTTATTATTGAAGACAAGAGACAATTATTTGAAAGTCATCGGTGATGTACGAACATCAGGATTTCTTCAAGCAAAAATTACCAATGACTTTAATATGTAATACGACTAGCAAAATAGTTCGGGTCGTTTTCACTGATCAGAACATAAAAAGAAGTAAAAAATAATATAGTCTGATGGTTATGACGCTTTGTTTGACAACAAAAGATCAAACTGTTCTATTAGTTTTACAACAATTATCAAATTTAACTGATGCTGAAGGAAAAATATGTGCCAAATAAACCAATGATTCAATATGTTTTTATCAGATCAAAGAATATGCAAGCTATTTGCAATCGCTGAAGACAAAATTTACAGAAAAAGGTGTTCAAGAAAAATTAATAGAATGGTAAGAATTCCATCAACATCCAAGAATGACATCAAAGAAAGGTTTAATTCTATTTTGAAATTATAATTACTATTAACTAAGAATTTATCAACTCAGGAATTTTTTTCTCAACAAAAAAAGAACACGATGATTGCCGATTGTGAAATTGACGTATGTTAATGTCGACAAAGACGATGTTCTTCAAGATGCCATCTGAAATCGTGCTGTCTATATCAAAATCAATGTATTTATATGCATCTGATACAGGGTTATATAAGATTGACGGGCAGCAATGACTATCGATTTTCCTCGTTGTTCACCTGTTAAATGTTAAAATAAACTGAACAACATCGTTTCAACTTTCAATTTCTAATACATTGTTGAAAATAGTGGTGCTGATTTAATTTTTGTCGAATTTCGCATTTCGTCAGCTATGTTTCGAAAAATACTAAGACTTTTAATAACTTTCTGCATTCAAAAATGTCTCATATGATATGTACGTTTAAAAAATTCTCTTTAATATCAATGTGTTACTTTCCAAACAAACAGAATTTCGAGATCTTCATATTGAAAATCTTTTAACAAGAATAATAGCTGCAAAAAATATTATTTTACTATTATTCTAATTTTTAGTCTTGCTGATATTAGAAGTTGATCAAAGATAATGAATTGTTCAATTTAATATTCTTTTATTTATTCTCACAATATTCCACGGAAATAGTATAAAATTCTCATGTTTTATAAATCAACGAATCGAAGAGTTTAAAAGAAAACGTGAAATAAAGATGAAACGTTTATATATGTTAAATATTTCATTAGATATTTTCATCAGGTAATTATACGTTCATTAACAACATATTTTGCATTAATATTTCGACAACGTTTGATCCATAAAGAAAAAAGCCAAAGACAAGATGGTATAAGAATAACAATACTAAGAAACATTATAATAAGCAAAATTAGTGTATCAATACATATTGGTTGTATTTCATTAAATGAATTTATTTCATCTTCTTCACTAGAACAAGGACCATAATTTTTACTGAAAACATTCCAACAAGGAGAACATTTTCGACATGTAGCAGTAGATGATTCTTAAGATTATAAAAGAAAAATATTTATTATTTTAAATAATAAATTAAAAATTACACACCAGTCATATTTAAATCACCGTAACATACAGAAATTAATATAATGAATATAGTGTTCGCTAACATAAGTTGCATCCTTGTTATCTGTTGAGATTTGTATATGTATGTTATTGTAAAGACTATCTTTATCATAGAATGTTGAAAGGGATAACGTGTAACAATCCTAAGTATTTGTTTTTATTCTATATCACAACATCGCTTAAATAATATTTCAAATAACTAAATTTACGCAATATACTTAAGCTAAAACATATATTTCAATCATAGTTGAAATAAATCATATTTATATTTTGAGAATAATATTGAAAACTTCAAATAAGCTATATGAGTTAATATTCGAATAAGATATTTTTATCAGCAATTAATGACATGTACTGAAGAAAAAACATTTATTCTAGCTAATCAATAAAAAAGATGTTCTTGTATGGAAAAAACATATATATTACCAAAAATGAACCTTGTAGTGAATAGAAGCTAGCTGGATGGCCAATTCAATTCATTTCCACCTATCAACAATCATGATATGAGCAGAAAATACTGAAAATTATCCTCAAAATACCAGGCATTCATAAGTAGTTGATATGATACAATAATGATGAGTACTAAGCACTTCATTCTATGTGCTTTTGATCTTAACAACATATGAAAATTAATTTTGACATTACTATAGAGCAATTAATGCTCATTTGCACTTTTCTTCAAAGAACAGATCATGCAAACGGTAATCAATACGATTTTATTGAGAGTTGTAATCTGACTTGCCAAATCTTCTGAAATGACAGGAAAAATTCCGAATTTTGACACATTTTTTCGAATTCTTCCAAAGTTTTCGAAATGTAGTATTTTTCTAGTTTAGAGCTTTTATGAGTTTTATTATAAGTTCTAATTCAACTTTTACTGGCAATTAATGCATCATCGTTGTTCTATTATAATGATTAAATAGCACACAGTTTTAAGATCGCTAAAAGCACATGTTCTCATGAATCTAAAGCCTTTTCGAACTGAACGAGATATCTTGTATAGTGAAACATGTCATTTGAATAGCCTATTTCTTCAACGTGAATTAAATTCTATGTTTCAGAAGACGCGCTTTTCCACATGATAATTCTCACATGTTAAACTGAATTAGATTCAGTCATGAATGATGAATTTCAGAGATTCGAATGTTGATATAAATAAGATTAAAGAAAAGAAAACAACTATATCAGTAACAGCTTTCACACAAAATGATGATACAAGAAAAAGTATTAAAAAAAATGGTGACATGCACATTTAAACGTCAAAAAAATGCCTTCCGAAATTTGTTCCGAAATAGAATGAAAAAATTTTGATTTACAACTTTTCAATCTGGCAACCCTGGTTCGCACTTTAAACAATTCCGTCTAAGGACCCACACAAAATCATATACATTGTAGTGTTACTAATACCAACAACATCATCGGTAAGTTTTGTAGCAACTTGTAAATGATTCAGTCAATACAGTTGTTGAACGAAATGATATTGACACGTGTAAGAGACCCATAATATCGAGCAGTTTCCAAAAATTCGGCGAATTATTGGTATGGCTAGTGTACTGGGTTTTTGTGATTCTTTTATGGCTCAATCTTTACATTGATGTATAGAAATTTGTCATGAATGAACGAGTTGATATAGGAATTTTATCTCTTAATTGAATAGAACCGTGTTCGTAGAGCTTGGAATTTTTTTTTATTCAATTTAGTTAAAATTGTAGATGTAACAAAATATTCCTCAATTAAATTTAGCTCAATTCATGCATTAAGGACTTTTCTTCTTGATTAAAAAGAATCAATATCATTAAGCAAGAATATTAATAGCCAATTATTAAAATAACAATACCAGCACGAAAATATACTATTTTCGTATTATTGGTACTAAGACAGCCATTTCCAGAATCTTTTTTTCTACCTATCCCTCTTGCGTGATGATTTATGAATACAGAGATTTTTATTAGTGAAGGCATTCTCCAATAGAATCATTACTTTCGTTTCAGCTAAATAATTCGGTTCGGCTAGCTTCGCATTAATGAATCTTGTTGATCATCACTGATTTGAACTTGAGTATACTAAGAAATTGATAATTCTAGAACTTTTAATAATATTTCTTTCGATTTTTTTATTTAGATAATTTTAAATGGCGCTCTTTCGTTATTCTCTACCTTTATCTAGACTAACTCTTCCATCCATATTGTCTAGTCGAGGAGCTGTAACAGCACCCGCCACTTCTCCATCAAATGTTGTCGAACATACAACAAATCCACCTATTCAAAAGGAACAAGAGCAAAATGTTTTAACAAATTTATCACCATATAAAACTGTACCCGGTAAATATTATGGTGATAGTAAAGTTGAAGTAGCATTAGCTCGTTTGGATGATGTACAAAATTTAATTCGACGTGGTTCTATTTGGCCGTTAACATTTGGTCTTGCTTGTTGTGCTGTTGAAATGATGCAAATGGCTGCTCCACGGTAAATCTCTATTTTATATAACATGTAATTCTCTTATATATTCAATTAATTATTAGTTATGATATGGATCGATTTGGTGTTGTCTTTCGTGCTAGTCCACGTCAATGTGATCTAATGATTGTTGCTGGTACACTCACAAATAAAATGGCTCCAGGTAATAAGAATTTTCTTATATCGAATTGTATTTCTTTTTGTTTTGTTTTTTTTCACGTTGTAGCTATTCGACGACTTTATGAGCAAATGCCTCATCCTAAATGGGTGATTTCAATGGGTTCATGCGCTAATGGTGGTGGTTATTATCATTATTCATATGCAGTAGTATGTGAACAATAATTTAATTTAATAAATTTTAAAGAAACACAAAAAAAATTGGTTTCTTTTTCAATAGGTACGCGGTTGTGATCGTATTATTCCAGTTGATATTTACGTACCGGGTTGTCCACCAAGTGCTGAAGCATTGCTTTATGGTATTTTGCAATTACAGCGAAAGATTAAACGATATGACACATTGCAAAAATGGTATCGAAAATAAATCAAAAGCAACTGTTAAAAATCTTGTTAAATTAGTCTTATTTTCCAATTTCATTGTTCTTCGACACTTTTTTTGTTGCTTGATTTTCCCTGTTAGCGTTATTTTCTTTTTTCTGTTTTCTTTTCTCATTGTGAAGGACGAGTGTAAATAGAATCATATATATATATATATATTTGGTTTTTTTCATCTTGCGTAATTACAAGATCAGTCATAGTTGTCGTGTCATGATTTACATAATTTCAAAATGGATCATTTATATTTAGAAAGAAAAAAGAAAACAAAATAGATTCAGCTTATAATGCCAGTTACTATGACGTATCCACCAGAGATTCTTTGTGAATTACAAGAAAATACTGAATCTATTCGTAACATATGTATATTGGCTCATGTTGATCATGGTAAAACAACATTAGCTGATGATTTACTTGCTTCAAATGGAATTATTTCGACACGTTTGGCGGGCAAAGTAAGTAAAATGAACAAAAAATTGATATTATCAAAATAGAAGTATATGTTAATATTTTGATAATCATTTTTGTATAGTTACGTTTAATGGATAGTCTCGAAGCCGAACAAATTCGAGGCATTACTATGAAATCTAGTGCTGTTTCACTTGTTCATGAAAAAGGTTCTTTGATATATTATTAGTAAATTTTAAAAGAAAATATACTTCTAATTTATTTAGATGATAAAAAATATTTAATCAATCTTATTGATACTCCCGGACATGTTGATTTTTCGTCAGAAGTTTCAACTGCGGTTCGTCTTTGTGATGGTGCAATTATTCTTATCGATGCTGTCGAAGGAGTTTGTCCTCAGGTACATAAAAATTCATCTAACTAAGAAGTCGAGAGGATCAATAAGGAAAGATATGTTCAAATTTGGTTCATAGAACAGAATTTTGCTTAATAAATTCCAAGGATAGGCATGTTTAGTTACATTGCTAGATGTGAAAAAATTTATGAATTCGATATTTTGTCATGGAACGATTATTTTACTAAAGTATCGTTTTTTTTCATGTAATTTGATCAATGGATTATGATGATGGAGAATCCAACTAGATGATTCATTAGTTGACATTAGAGGTTTTGATTTTTCGCAGTAGGGCACATATATTGATTCAGACTCCTTGACCTCAAAAAACACTGATGAAACTTTATGAAAAAAAGATGTTTTCGCAAAATAGCTTTGCCTTACTGAAATATTGCACTGATGAGTTTCTTCTCATCTAACAATGTTACTACTGTAGATAGTAATATGCCTATGCTAGAAAAATCCTGTACACAAAGATTTTAGCGAAGTCTTTCTATTATATATTGTGGAAAGTGACTTATTCATTGAATTCATTTTTTATCTAGACTTTAGCAGCTCTTCGACAAGCATGGCTCGAACATTTACGTATTATTCTTGTTCTTAATAAAATTGATCGTTTAATTGTTGAACTTAAAATGAGTCCTCTGGAAGCTTATTTTCATATTCGTGTTATTCTTGAACAGTTAAATGCTCTTGTTGCAGAACAATTTGCATCATTACTATTAGCAAAAAGTGTACGTGATGATTAAAAGTATATTTTTGATTTATTTCTAGTCATGCGTGTTTTTTTTTTCTTTTTTCAGATTGATCAAGAAGTTGTAGACGAGGTTGATATTTAGACTTTTATTCAAATAAACCTTTCATATTTGTCATGTATTTAGGTCAAAACTGAAAATAACAATGAAAATGATGATGATGATTGGACGCGAAATGAATCTCGAATGTGTTTTTCACCGCATTATAATAATGTACTTTTTGCTAGTGCATTAGATGGTTGGGCATTTGGGTATGTTGATAATATTTATAGTTTTATTGAAATACTTTGGGTTTTTTCTATCATAAATAGAATTCATCATTTTGCAGATCTGTATGCAAAGAAATTATCTATTAAACGCGAAGTATTAATGAAAACATTGTGGGGTGATTTTTACTTTGATAAAAAAAGCAAACGTGTTTATAAAGGTGCACAAGTAAGAAAAATATTTTTGAATTTGAATCAAATATTAAAAAAATAAATTATTATTCTTTTCATTTTAAGAGTAAAGGACAAAAACCAATGTTTGTTCAATGTATTCTTGAAAATCTTTGGAGTGTTTATGAAACAATTATAATTCGACGGTTTATATTTTTATTCTTTTTTCTTATTAAATGAAAACTATTACTTTTAGAGATAATGAAAAACTTGAAAAAATTGCTACATCAATTGGTGCTAAATTAACTCCACGAGATATTCGGCATACTGATCCATATGTTCCATTACATCTTCTTTTCAATCAATGGTTACCTGCTGCTTCAGCTGTATTTGGTTAGTTAATGTTCAAGGACAAAAAAAAATTGATTTTGTTTATTTTTTCGAATAGATATGGTTGTTACTCAACTTCCACATCCAAAAGCATTAAATATAGAAAAAATTGAACAATTAATGTGTAATAAAAGTCGTCGATTTGATACATTATTACCAGAAACACAACAATTAAAACAAGGTAAAAGTTTTATTTATAGATTGTTAATATTCAATATGAATTTTTCTTTAAAGCATTTCTTAATTGTTCAAGTGATGATCAAGAACCAGTAATAATTTATGTATCAAAATTATTTTCTGTAAATCAGAATGTTCTTTCACAAAATAAACAAAAGTTAGATGAAATTGCATTTTTTTTCATAAATAAAATATTTTTCTTAATAGACCATTAACTGCTGAAGATATAGTACAACGACGAGAACTTCTTAGACAAAAACAACTTGATAAGACAACAATAAATGAAGAATCGTCAACTATACAAACTATAGAAAAAGATCAAACTAAGACAGAAAATGGTGCTATGAAGCCAGTAGAAGCAGAATCAAACGAGAATATTGATGAAAATGTATTTCTTGCTTTTGCACGTGTCTATAGTGGACGATTAAAACGAGGACAAAAAATTTTTGTTCTTAGTCCTCGCCATGATCCAACTTTATTTGTTGGAAAAGTAAGATTGATTGTCACTAAAAAATGTTTTTTTCGTATGAATATTTTTACTTGAAAAATAGTAGGACGATTCCACTGTGTATATGTGACACGTTTACATCGAGTTTCTTCAAATCGATTTTCACACTTCAAATCGTGTAGAGCATAGTCGATTTACTTGCTATGCTGACAAAAGGTTCGCTATAAATTCTTGTATTGAAGAGATCAGTGATTCACAAAACTATAGCAAAATATCATTAAAAGTGTATAAACACACTGCAAAAAAGGCTTGAATATCTATTATCATATAGTTCTAACGCTAATATGTAATACTTTTCGCGAGAGTTCAAACAGAGTATCAATTTAGTACGAAAAGAATGTCATGCTATAGCATGTATATTATGCATATTTATAATTTCATTACTTATGATAGTCGTTGCATACTAAACTGACACCCTATTTAGTACCCGTGCGAAAAGTGTTCTATATAAGCGTACAGAACTAACTTTGTTTTACAAACCCTGCTATATTATTATGTGTCTAAGTTCTGCGTTACAGTTGATCTCTTCAATATAAGAATTTATAGTGGATAATTTTGTCATCATAGTAAATAAACCAACTATACTCTATCGATTTGAAATAACTTGATGTAAACGTGTCGCATGTACCGTGAAGTCATCTAGTATTTATCGTGAAAATGTCTTTTTTTAATTATTTATTTTTATCCTTAGAATTATAATGTGTCGTATAAAAAAATCTTGGAATAATTCAACAAAGATTTTACCGTCATAGATTAATTTCTTTTTTTTTCATTTAGGATCTTAGTCAAGTTTCTGCTCATAGCATTTCTCATAGTGTACAAGAGTTTATTGTTCAAGATCTATATTTAATGATGGGTCGTGAATTTACTCTACTCGATCAAGTACCTGCAGGCAATATAGTTGGTACGTTTATTTATAATTTCTGAAATATCGACGTGATCAAATTCTTTCTTTTTTAAATTTAGCTATTGCAAAATTAGATTCTGTTGTTTTAAAATCAGCAACTTTATCAACAAATATATTTTGTCCATCATTTACTGGTCTTCACTTTGAGGCTTCGCCTATTGTCCGTGTAGCAATTGAACCAAAAAATCCCGGTAAAAAAATATTTTTTTCTTTTTACTCATAAAATAAACTTTTTATTTTTAAAGCTCAAATGAAACAACTTCGACATGGTATGCGTTTATTAAATCGAGCTGATCCACTAGTCGAATGTGCACTAAAAGATACTGGTGAATATATTCTTTCAACAGCTGGTGAAGTACATTTACAACGATGCATCGATGATCTTACTAAAATGTATAAAGTATTTTATAATAAGAAAATCATAATAGAATTAACTTCTTCTATTTATTTGTATAGCTATGCTCGTATTGAAATCAATGTTTCAGCACCGATTATTCCATTTCGCGAAACAATTATACCACCACCTAAAGTCGATTTTCTCAATGAATCATTAGCAAATCAACAGCAGCAATTTAAATCAAATAAACTAACGAAAGAACGACCACCATGGCTATTAGGTATTTTCATATACGAAATAACAATAAGATCCAAATTACTTTTTTCTTTTGTTTTTATGTTTTATTTAGAGGATGGTTTAGTTGAATTAAGTACTCAAAATCGTCAATGTACATTTCAAATTCGAGCAGTACCATTACCTGATTCTGTCACTCGTTTACTTGATGAAAATTCTTCCATACTTGCAGTTATTGAACAAGCTCAAATACGTGATGATAGAAAAGTAACTGTTCAATTAAATGATCAAACACTTGATCAAATTCGACAATTACGAGAACGTTTAAATGAAGAATTTATTAATGCTAATGGAAATATGTGGAATTCAAATACTATTGATGAAATATGGTCATTTGGTCCACATAGATGTGGGCCTAATCTTTTACTTAATCGTATTCCAAGTAGTGTTTATAAACAACGTTTCTCATCTATTTGGGCTGTTCTATTAAATAAAGAAATGAAAACAAATATAAATTCATCATTAACAAAAGATGATTATGATTTAAGTATTATTCATGGATTTCAATTAGCAACAGCTAAAGGATCATTATGTGAAGAACCTTTAATGGGTGTTGCATTTATAATTGAACAATGGGCAATAAATACAATTGTTAATGATGAAAATAATGATGAACAGCAGAATACATCAGAAATCAACAATTCTGATCATCCTACACCACCATCAACAGCAACAACTGCTACTGAGGAAGTAGAAAGTTTAGTAGAAACAATGAGTATTACAAGTGACGAATCGTCAACATTAAATACTCAACAAAAACCTCGTCGTTTTGTTGATAAATCAAAAATTATAATTAAACGTGGACCACTTTCTGGCCAAATAGTATCAACTATATATGATGGTTGTCGAAAAGCATTTGATTCCCAACCAAGACGACTTGTTGCAGCTATGTACAAATGTGAAGTTATGGTTAATGCAGAAGCATTAGGTAAGTAAGAAAAAAAAAAAAAAGCTTTTGTTTCATTTTATTCTTTTTTTCATTCATTTAAATAGGTCGAGCTTATGCAGTTTTAAATAAACGAAATGGACGTGTATTAAATGAAGATATGAAAGAAGGCACGAGTACATTTATTATTACAGCTGCATTACCAGTTGCTGAAAGTTTTGGTTTTGCTGCAGAAACGCGTAAAAAAGCAAGTGGTTTAGCATCGCCACAATTATCTGGTAAAACATATTGGGAAATTATTGAACTTGATCCATTTTGGGAACCACAGACAGAAGAAGAATTTTTACATTTTGGTGAAAAAGCTGACTTTGAAAATCGTGCTAAAAAATATATGAATGATGTTCGTCGACGTAAAGGTTTACGAGTTGAAGAAAAAATTGTTGAACATGCAGAAAAACAACGAACGTTTAAGAAAAATAAGTGAAAATTGCTTTTCTGTGTGTGTGCGTGTTTTTCTTGTTGATGTTCTTTTATTTTTATTTTTTTTTGGAAAAAATTTATTTACGATAATAAATATCCGAAAAAAAACGAATCTAATTTTTAATTGTTTATATTTTGTGAGAGTCGATATCCGGTATAGGATCGAACTGTTAGCAATAAAATCAATGTGGAACTATTATTTGAGAGCTAGGAAATGACAATTAGGTAGCTATAAGTAAATCAAAAAAAATGTCTTCAGGTTTTTCTGGGAATAGTTTATTTTTATGATTTTATCACGTTTTTTTAATGTTTTAAAACAAGTTTTCTATTCACGTACAAAATAATATTATCTCTTCTTTCAGAATGACAATAATTACATTAATTTGTATTTTCTGTTTCTGTTGCATTCTTAATTGTCTCCAGAGAAGAACTTCAATTTTAAAGGAAGTTAATTTTAAAGTAGTTCATATGAGGACTAGAAAATTGCCTTGTTATCTTCGTTTATAATGGTTATGATAATGATAAAATATCATTCAAGTATGTCATATATATTGAATAGATTTGAAGGTGTCATTTGAAACTTAGAAAATAATAGTCAAAAAGATCAAAATTGTATTAAAAATACTATTTTTCTCATTTACGAAAATTGTCTTAACTGTTTTCATACGATCTTTCAATATTCTAGATAATGAGTTTGATTCTTGTGCAAAATACTATTCTTTCACTCATCGTCACCAGTATTACATTTGCTGTAGTTTTTCTTCTTAATTATTTAAATAAGAAAAACTCGATTACTATCGAAGTTTCACGAAAGGTAGTTCATATTGGAGCTGGAACACTTTATCTCGCCATTTATTTCTATAATGATAATGGATATTTTTCAAAATATGTGAATATATTTCCAAATCTTCTTTGGACTGGTATACTTATATGGAAGAGTCAATGTCATTCTTCTGGTCAACAAAAATATGATCTTGTGCTGGGTACAATGACAAGAAATCATCGTGGAACTGAACTTTTACGTGGACCACTGTTTTTTAATTTTGTTATGATCATTTGTGATACTCTTTTATATAAAACAATACTTGGTTCCATCATAATGGGTATATTAACATGGGCAGATGGTTTAGCTGCTGTCATTGGTACTCAATATGGTAGTCGACGAAAACTTTATCGAACAAAAACATTGGATGGATTATTGACTTTTTTTATCGTCGGTATCATAGCTTCAATTATTTATACTTCTATTCTTGTCGATTTTCAATTAATTAATGTGTGGAAAATATGTGTGATATCTTTTTCTACAGCAGTGATAGAAACTTTGAGTCCATCTGATTTTGATAATTTAACAATTCCGTTATCTATCATTGTTTTATATTATTTTCTATTTTAATGAAGAATAATTGAAAAATTAATCTTCATCTTTTCTATTTTAGATGTTACAACCATTAAAATATATTCTTCAACAAAAACGAATTATATTAGCTAGTGGTTCACCACAACGTAAACAATTACTTCAATCGGTTGGCTTAAATTTTGATATAATTATTTCTGATTTTGCTGAAGATCTTGATATTTCGTCATATAAAGAAAATCTTTCTCAATATGTTATTGATACAGCTGAACATAAATGTCGTCATGTTTATCAACAAATTAAACTGCATGAGAATGAGAAAAAAAATCTAGTTATTATAGGTGCTGATACTATGTGCTCATTAGATAACGTTGTCTATGGCAAACCATGTGATAAAGAAGATGCTTTTCGTATGTTAAAAGCATTCTCTAATAATACACATCAAGTGTGTACTGGTGTTTGTATTCTACAAGGAGATATGGCCATAAAGACATTTTCTGAAACAACTGATGTTACATTTGGCTTAATTGATGATGAAACTATTCGAGCCTATATTGAAACAGGTGAACCAATGAATAAAGCAGGAGCTTATGGGATACAATCTTTAGGTGCGACATTGGTTAAGAAAATAGATGGTGACTATTTTAATGTAGTTGGTTTTCCAATTTATCATTTTTGTATACAATTGAAAGCGTTACTTAATAATGAATTTAAATAAAAAACAAGGATCATTTGCTAAAAAATGACAGAACAAAGATAAGCAATCTGATCATAAAATATTACTTTCAATCATTGATCATTGTAACATGTTATTAAGTGTATTGTGACTGATAGAATTTTTTGACGGTTCTTCACTATTTTATAGCTTATTAGTCAGTTTTCTTTATTTAAAGATTTTTAGAGAGAATACAAAGAAAGTAGAACATACAGTTGCGAAGTTCTTATGAAAGACGATTGATTCAAAAAAAAAACTATTAATGCAACTCGAAATATCACCGATTAACTTTTCTGAAAAAGAAATACATTAATGGTTTGTTTGTATTTGTAATCAATAAGATAAGATATTGTTTAATAAGGAAATATTTCTAGCATAGAATGCTAAGTAATGTGAAGATACAATTTATTTTTTATTCCGATGCATATGCCAAGTGTGTTATGTTGTATACTACAAAATCAGAATGAGCAATGAGTGTCTCATATGGTGATGCCTATAAAAAGATGTCAAAAACAAAATATGTCAATTTATGAAAAAGTGAAAAACAAATTAAATGAGACTGTTTTAAATTATCGAAAATTCAGTGTTCAACAAACTGTATATCCTGCTACTACAATACCATCGACTTATTCTAGTTGAAGTCTTGATTTTGCACGGTTTCATTCGAATAGTTGCAAATTTCTTAAATCGACAAATATTCTTGGGCAAATGAATATTGATTATTATGACACATTTTTGTTAAATCTTTTGGATAAATATTATGATCGACCATTATATGTTGAATAGCCATAAATCTATGTATGAGTTTGCATCTGAATATGAAATAATTTACATGAATAACGAAGTCCATATCTTAACATAGATGTTTAATAACTACTAATTCTTATGTTTGCTGTTAAAAACAATCATGTAATTGTAATGTCATTATTTGTTAACATTTTTTAATCGGAAAACTGACGAAAATTATTACGAAAACTTTCTGTTGCTTTATTTGCTGATAAGTGTGCTGATATTGATGACACGGTTCGATGATTCTCCTTCCTTCTCTCTCTGTTCTCTTGCCGTTGTTCTAATATATCTCTCTCCTGTCTCTCTTCTATCTCTCTCCTATATATGCGTATTATGTATGAAGTTGGGACACTCTGGATATGTGAAGAAGCGAATAAACATCATTGCCGAGAGTGGCGGTAAGCTACTCCACCTCTATTCAGTTTGTCATTACGTATCAACCCAGTCAGGGCCTTATTATTCGTTACAATAAGTAGTCAGAATAAATTGCAAAGAAAATTCATTGAAAGGACAGGAGACGTTTTGGGGCGATTTTGGACCAATTGAAAAGTAAAGGTACTTTCTCATGAAACTTTCACCAATTGTAGAGCTCAGGGTCACTAGTTACTCCTATAACTTTCGACTTGATCGGTCAAACTTTTTCCTTTCTTTCGCACCCACACAGATACGCTATATTGGGACTTATAAGGGACAAAGAATACTTCATTTTGAAAATACTATTTCAATAATTTGATAAATTATTTAAACACCAGTTGATAGAGAATTTAATTCTGCATAAAACTATATAAGTAGCTTGCAATAAAATTTAAAAACCGTTTACAAAAAGGTTCGAATACTATTAGCCGCCGCCCACGCACAGACTATACCTCAATATTGTGTACCTTCCACCTCCACCATATGGTTCAGAACCGGCACCATTTTTCTAGCATTAATATCCATTAACAAGACCTCCAAAATGGCTAATATAAGGGTATGCAAAAACTCTGTCTTCTGTGTGTTGTTGAATACATACAGTCCCAAATGTGGACAAAGGTATGCTATAGCAGACCATGTGTACCTACGATCTCCACTGTTCGGTTCAGATTCAGAGCCATTTTTCTAGTATCAATATCCATTAACAAGAGCTACAAAATGGCTCAAAGAAGGGTGTGGAAAAAGTTGTCTTGTCGTTTGTTGTCTTGCGATATCATCCGAAATAGACATGGAAGTATACCAGTCTAGCAACTGATGTCTATAAGATCTGCCGGTTTTCACAGAAATTCAGGACTCTGATAAATGATGTTTGCACAACAGACACAAAGTAACTATGTGAAAATGGTTGGAAAAATTTCTTGTAGCGCTTAGGTTTAGTTGTGTAGCCTCAATTATTAATAGTGAAACGAAGGCTACTTCAGCCATAAGTGTTTTCTTTGATTGAAGGTTTTGATTTGAAAGATAAATGATCTGTCACTAGGCTGTGTATGTGATGTTTGGTTGAAGAGCTGGCATTCTTGTGTGCTGAAATTCAAATTGGATTTTGAGGTGGACTTCAAAACCCCAAAAATCACTTGTGCAAACAGAGGATTTTCACTATCTAGTAGAAGATCCACTGATTAGTTTGAATCATAGTCGAACATGTAATATTTCAAAGGTTTTGTTGTTGATGGGTCCGGATAGTAGGGGGATAGCCCTACTATAAACAGTTGGTCGCGTGATATCCCACAATAAACAAATAAAATGTGGAAATTTCGCTATTCTGTGGAGAGAGAATAATATTAAAAAAAAGGTAAGTAATTTTCCACTTATTTGAAGAAGCGTCATATATAAAAATGGTTATGGAATGTGTGTGTTGTGATAGTCGTATCGAGTCGAAAAATCGTCGTCCATTTTGTGGTATAGCATTACGTTCTTTTGTTTCGGCACGAAGAAACTTGTTTTTACCAGAATCGGGATTTATATGTAATGCATGTCGTATGTGTTATTACAAATGGCGTAATAATTCTGAATTTATTGACGCCTTGGATCATATTGAAAAAGAATCAGGTGAAAGTATAGTCAAAAAGGACGATAAAGTAAGCATTCTAAAAATGAATTTGTCGTTATTTACTCGATTGTTTTTTTTAGACTGATGATGAGAATATGGAATTGATAAATGAAACATTATCAAATGATTCAATTCATAAAAATACCGTGACCTTACCATTGAATGTTACTATTTCATCCCATCAGTATGTTTTGATAAAAATAAATGATAGAAAGATAGAAAATTTTTGCATTTTAGACAATGTTCTGTTTGTCGTGAAGCTTTGAAATCAACATATTGTACTATTTCTGAAAAAGATCGAGATCTTTTATTTATTAAAAATAACATATTTATTCCAAAAGGTAGTCGATGTTGTCGAGATCATATTGTGAATGAACGTTTATGTACTGGTGCATTAAACGAAATCCGTCCATTTAAAGTTACCAGGACAGCTTTTGCTGCTACAGACGTCATTACAGGGTTTACCAAATTCCGAGATCATTATAGCTCAGCTCGATATTGTGACTTCGAGCCTCCATTTACAATGTCGGATATTGATTGCTATAACTTAACTGGAATATCAAAATCAAACTTTGATGATTTGTCTGGATTGCTCGCCAATTCCGATATGAAAAATTCTTCTAATAGGTCAATTCGGAATGCTACAGGACTCTTTTTGACAAAAATTAGATTAGGATTAAGTAATAAAGTTCTCACAACCATTTTTCAATTTTCAAATGCTAAAGCTGTTTCACGGACTCTTGCATCTGTTCGTCAAGCTATGTTATCAAACTTCGTACCTTGCTATCTTGGCTTTAATCACATTTCTCGTGAAGACGTAATTTATAATCATTCTTCTCCACTTGCCACTCGGTTATTATCTGAAAAACCAAATACAGTTGTACTTGCAATCGATGGTACATACTTGTATGTACAGGTATGTAATGGTTTAAATATGTTATGACTTAGCTCCGAATAGTTCAATCAGAAAATCAAACTCGTCATTAATTTTCACTATCTTTTTTTCCTTACTATAAGCCAACTTAAAAGATAATCGTCATATAACAGAAAGATCACATTATAGTATCAGTCTAATTTGAGAGGAACTTTTAAAAGTTGGCCGCATGAAACGTTGTGAGTGAAGCACATCAGCAATCTACTTCAATCTAGGATTCATTCATAATGATTCACAAATAGTTTAGCAAGTTGAAAAGAGTCGGTAGATATTTCTAATCAAAATTTTGGCCAGTACACATTGCCAAACCTTTCTTATTGAAGCATCAGTAATAGTCGGAAAAAATTATATATTTTTTTAACATATGATTTGATCTCAACGAGACTTGATGAACAAATACTCATTCATAAAATATATTTATAAAGTTGTTACTATTGACACACACTTATTTATCATGAAAATGAACAGTACTACAGTATTTAAAAATCGGCCTCATGCAGGCATTGATTTGCTACGCTTTTTTCCGAAATATATGAGATTTCTCCTACTAGAGATTTCATATATACTTCGTGAAATATCTCTCTAATAAGCACAAGTTTTATCAAAGGATATCAAAGAGAATATTTAGTTGTAAAATATTTTTCTTACCCTATTCTTGATGCATTAATTCTTTTCGATGAACAATTAGAGTAAAACGTAGATTTTTGTAGTCGGTCACTGATATGTTTGCTGTATTTTTAGAAAAGTCGGAACAATGAATTGCAACGACGAACATTCAATATGCATAAGCATCGATCTCTAGTCAAACCGATGTTGATTACTAACACCACAGGATATATCGTTGTTGCCTATGGACCTTATTTATCCGATAGTTCAAACAATGGCGCAGCCATGCAAAAAGATATATTGATCAAAAATAAGGATGGTATTTTAAATTGGATTGCTGAACATGATATAGTAGTAGTAGACAGGGGTTTCCGGGATAGTACTGGAATGGTGCAAGCTTTAGGCCTTGATGTATGTATGCCAGATTTTCTTAATGGTCGACGCCGATTCGATGCACTTGAAGCAAATCGATCACGCTTTATTAGCAAAATTCGTTTGGTGGTTGAATCGGCTAATGGTCGGGTGAAGCATTTCAAATGGTTAAACCAGACAATTCAAAATTTCAACAATTCCTCAGGTTCGTGATTACGTACAGATTGCTTGTGCTCCTGTTAATACTTACCGAGCCCCTGCTATTTCTTCGTTTTCAAATGATGATCAAATTGCTGCCAAGATGTTAGCCTGCCTTCATGAACCAAATTTACTTCGTACACGCCTTAACAACGAAATTCTCCATTGGTCGAACAACGATGCATCAGACCTTGCTCATTTTCCAATTCTTACACTTGATCAAATTCGATTAATCACCGTCGGTATGTAATGATGTTGCATTTTTAATAAATATATCCAATTGGTTTTCTTGTCCTNACAAACTGAATAGAGGTGGAGTAGCTTACCGCCACTCTTGGCAATGATGTTTATTCGCTTCTTCACATATCCAGAGTGTAACAATTTCATACATAACACACGTATATATAGGAGAGAGATAGAAGAGAGACAGGAGAGAGATATATTAGAACAATGGAAAGAGAACAGAAGGAGGAGGAAGGAGAATCATCGAAGCGTGCCATCAATATCGGCACAATTATAAACAATTGGATACTCACTTCTCTGATCGCTCTACGATGATATACAATATCTTTTGGTACTGATGGTATTTAAAATTAGAAAAGAATATTAAAACTTTTTTTGTTCTATCCTAATTTATTTATCATTCTAGAAAAGCAAGTACAATTGATGATGGGCATCAATAATATGAAGGACGTCTTACAAAAGTATTCGACATATTTAGAATAGTTCTAATAAGAAAATATAATACAAGACAATTTCCTTTTTTTTCAAAGAAGTGTAGCTAAAAGAACAATTAAAACGATTATAAGTATAACAAAAAGAATAATAAGTATAATACAACACCAACATGGACATCGACAACCATCGTACGCTCGACAACAAACAATTTCATCATCGCTCGTAGGATTGTTGGTCTTAATATAAGAGAAGAAATTTCTATTTGATGAATTTAAATAGAAAACAAAAGTTGAATGCTTACCCATGCTTCTCGAACAATATTATCGTCTTCGATACGTCTAGGTCTTGTTGTTGTTACTACTTGTCGTTCTGTTTGATTAATAGGAACAACGGCTCGTTCATTCACATGTGAACTATAATATGGACGTCGTTCATCTAATTCAATACTGTGAATTGTAACAGTTGATGATGCTGATTCGCCTCTTGGTAAAAGAGTATTCCAAAAATCTGTGCGATGTTTTTTGTGATGGTGATGATGATGATGTCGTTTATGATGTTTATGATGTTTATGATGTGAATCATGTCGTTGTGCTCGACATACTGGACAATTTGGATCAGCACAAAGTTCAACTTGATCATAAGTTGTATAAGGTACTGTTGATTGTTCAAGAGTTGATACAGACATTGGATTAATACGGTTTCTTGTAGTAACAGGCACTAAGGCCATTATAGTTATTTTAAAAAAAAAAAGAAGAAAAGAAATCGAATACAACAATGACACATGTATTTTATAGAGAAAATGAAGACCTCCTGCAGAGTTTGTTACTTTTTTTTCAATCCTTTATAATGAAGAAAACAGGTGTTATGGTAAAGATTTTGTTTGTTTGACTTATAATATCAAATCACTACAACATTTCGTCATTGTTACGTCAAATCAATCGATTAAATTGTCATGTTTTTTCTTTAAGACACCTACGCATAATTTATTTATATTTTAAAAAATGGTTCGTAGTGGATTTTTACTTAATAATGTATAATGTAGAAGTAGGGCAATGAATTATGAAATGCAAAGTCATGTATATTCTGAAGACAAATAGACTAAAACAAAAAATTAATCAATCGTCTTGATAGTTTAAAAAAGGATAAAAAATGAAACCGAGTTTTTTTAATTGAAAAATTCAAGTAGAAATTATTTGCAATAAAGCTTGAGACGACATGATTGAATATGTATATGAGCTTGTTGGCCGTTTAACTCATGATGACTTGTTCAACATGGCAGACGATTGTGTAGAGACCACATGATAGTCAGTGTTGATTTTAATCAATTATCTAATGAAGAAACATTACATATTCTCAATCGACATTATACAGAACAAATAAATTTGCCCAGCACTAATTGAATAGTACCCGAAATATGTGACCGGTTTCTAATAAATAAATTTGGGATTGGCAATTCATGCTATCGATTTTTCACAAGCTGAGACAAATTAAATTTTTATACTAGGATAAAGAAACGGCTAGACAAAGAACGATCTTGGAAAATCTCTGTGTATTTCCTAGATAAAAAATGAGTCGCTCTCATTTTTTATTGTAAAGTGTTATTTTTGATCTACTTGTATTGGAAGTTTCTTCGCACCCGTCGGTATACCATTGTAGAATAGTGATCAGAGGATAGTCGACTATTTCAGTGAAGAACTACCAAATATTGATGGTATAGCACACATTATACCGAACGATTTACTGGCAGCTTTTGTCGAGTTTGAATCACCTGGAAACGCACATATATATGACATATAAGGGAAAATGGATTTATATCTAATATATACGCACACATCACATGAAAACGACAAAGACATACATATGAATTTACTTTCGCAAAATTTAATATATGTAGATGTATTTAGTTTCATCAACATTCATCAATAAGTTTCAATGAAGAAAATAAACCTATTTTGTCTTTCATTATCATAATTATGGGGTAACTATGCTTTTGTGAAACACGATCTAAAAAGAATGTGGAAGTATGTTGAATAGAAACGTGCACAGCTCCTCCTCCCATTTACGATCACAGATTGTATGTTAACAACGTCTCGTTCTAACGTTTGAACCACTTCCTTGTTGCATTTCAGGAGGCTTAAAAAAGGATGGTGAAGAAATGTATCTCAAAATAGATAGAATGAAGCAATCTACCTGTAATTAGCGACAGCAGCTACATCAAGTTTCATGTTTTAATCCGCAGGGATTGCACTAATAGCTTTTATACTTTGTATTTAAAGGAAGATGTATTAGCTTTTCCAATGTCTTCATCAATACGCCTTTATGTTTTTTTGCTTCAGTTTTTTCTTAAGATTGCCAGTTTCTTTTGATCTGAAAATTCTCCTTCTTTACAATAAATTATCCACTGAACGTGACCTAGTCTGACTTGCATTTTCAAAGATGACTATTCCGAGTGTACAACTCTTTTTAGTTAAAACGTCAGTTCAATTTCTCATGCGGATGAGAATTCCAACTTACCTCTAGAGCATTTCGTTCTGTCAAGAGAGTCACTAGCACTATAATAGTGATGAGATGTGAGTTGATAAGTGTGGATACACAGAAGACCTATAATCACATTCTTATTTTAACCCGAAGTCTACTAAAACGCTAGTGGAAATGAATGAAAATAAATTCTAAAATTCTGATCGAACAATAGCCTTGCATGTACATGGGTTTTAATTTAAACCTTTCTTTATCTCTGTATAACTTTTAGAAGAAAGTCTTGCGAATTTTATTCGTGTTTCTACTTAAAGAAGTTTTCTTAAGAATTCATTGTGAAGCTGTGTGAAAGCTAATAATTCCCGCTGAGTTCGATATATTCAAATGAAACTTGTCCCGTATAGGTAACTCATGAAAATCACACTTCTTTGAAAATTCGACACTAAACGGACTTCACAAAGAAGAAAAGTCATTGTGATTAGAATATCCTTAGTATTGATAGTGTGAGCTATTTCACAAAAGTATTTTAATAATGTGATAGATATACATAAAAAAGCTTGTTAAATGTTCAAGATAAAATGTAAGAACCAAGGCTCCTAACAGGGTGAAAACTTTTCCCCTGCATTCTGTCCTATCCTGCTTCCATTTATCCTTTCCTGACCTGTCCTCCGATTTTTCTCCTCTACCCTGTCTTGCGATTGTTCTGTCCTGCTCTGTCCTGTCTTGCGACTTTTTCCGCCCTGCTCCTTTCTGCCCTGTGATTGCTCTATCCTGTCAAAAAAAAGCAACCGAATGGCAATGTTCTCTAAAAAAATTTCGCGAATAATTGAATGTATTATAGTTTTTCTTTATTTGTTCCCTTTCAAAAATACTGTAACATATAACGAATGAAAATATTTTCTTTTTTACACTAACCAATAATACTTTCACACAAAAAAAGCACATAAGTGAATAAAGCGCAAGCCTCATGAAAAAGTTTCCCAACAAATTAGTTTCGAATCGATTTGTTTTTCTCATAGCTAAAAATAGAATAAAGTGCCCGATTTCAATCCAATTAAAGTCGAATTTTTCAGACAAAAAAGTAGATCACTCCAATTTTTCGAACTTTTTTTATATGGATTTTGATCGATTAAAAATTACTATTCTCTTTTATTAGACTAATTTTAAACAGTGGTGTAGAAACAGATTGGGTTATACCACTTGAAGGTGAAACTATATGTAAGAAGACATATTCGAAAACAACAATGCAAAAGTAGATATAATAATCTAACCTATACGTAGAATAGCATTATATTCCATCAAACAAACATGAATTATTCAATCGACTCACATTAAACTACTTTGCTGAATTCATAATTCAATTGAAATCTCGCATTAGAATTTCGTCTCTGTAAAGAGAATAGCCAGCAGCGACACTTTTTAGACCTACTGTTTCGAACTAAAGAGGGCAATTTTCAGTGCAACTCGAACAGGACAAGTAATTGAAACATGTGCCCTGTCCTGTTCTGCAAAAAGTTTCTGCAACTACCCTGTCCTGTCCTATTAAAAATTCTAAAACTGCCCTGTCCTGCCCTGTTAAAAATTTAGAAATTGTCCTGTCACCCTGTCCTGTTAGGAGCCCTGGTAAGAACCATGACTACCGTGCTGAATAACGACTCACATGTATGGAATAGCATACTCAATGCTGATACCAGAGAAAAAAGCGAAGACTCCTTCAAAACCAAAAGATTTCAAACATTGTCGAAGTTCTTTAATAGATATCTACTCGTCACAGTTCGACTAAGGCTCGCGCATACCTATTCTTGAGAACAGCAAGTTATCCAGCAATGATTGTGTGCAATAAATTTACGAAAATTAAGTTTTTCCAGAAAACTTATGTATATATATATATATTATGAAAGAGCAAACTTCGGGTTATCTTTGTATGATAGAAAAATAGCTTTTATCCATTTTCAAAAACTTTAAATTTCTGAAGGGAAAAATCGTGAAGCTTGTGCAATAGTATCAGTTTTAGAAAAAATATTGCCTGATTCTTCCATGATTATTTTGTGTGATATAATTTCATCTCGAAGATGATGAACTTAAAGCTTGTGTTCA